TATATCAAGTGTAAAAGGTGTGGAGAAAGTGGGCACGACTGCTAGGCCAATGTCCAAGGTGTCACAAAACTTCAGATATTCCAGGCTCTTTCACGTCATGACAGATTCTCTGTCCCACCCTCTGGCAACCCCGGGGGTTCCTGCACATTGTTGAAATGTTTTTATTGCCTCTTGGTTCCTGTGTTCACCATGAAGGTTTCTATTCATAACATTTTAAAAACGCAGTTGTCCAAGCGAAACCAAATCCTTGGTTTCTTAATGATAACTAGTGCTGTGTGACTGGGGGAGATTAAAAAGGTTGCTTCGTTTGCAGATTTTATCAGTTGGCTTATGAGAGAAGCTCGGAGCTTCGTTCTTATCCCTGATAATCATTGTTTCATCTCCAATCTGACTTGTTAGATGGAGGGATTGCCACCATATTGTACATTCTTAAGTTATCAATAAAAGTATATGGACCTAATTTCTAGCATAGATTTTTCTCCCTAAAACTTGGCCCTGCTTCTTGGCAAGAATGTTTACTTTCTTCTCCTGAATGGCATATCTCACTTGAGATAGTAATTAGATATTTACCTCTGAGAAGTTTAAATACTGAAGGATAATGAGTTGTCTGTTAGCTAAGAGACCCAGCCAACCATGTGTAGCTGTTTGAGGAAGCAATTACATTAGTTGACCTTCATGATTCCCCCACAAGTCTGTGTTAACCTAAGGCCCACGAAATACCGAAGCCACTGATTCTTTATGCCGGAAACTGAGGGAGGCCTTTCTGTTCATAGTGATCCATCTAGACCCTTTTGACTAAAATACTGTTCATTCCCAGAGCCCTCTTACCTTGCACACGACCTGGTAGGTCACCCGTCACCTAAATGCTCTAACTCCTGTAGAGGGCATCAATGCTCCTCAAGCATGGGCACTCCAGCGCTGCGCCTGGCTGAAGCTACTTTACTAAGGCTCTTGTGCAAAGGTCTACTAAATAAGTACTGTTGTGTTGTTTTGTTTTTTGAGACGAGGTCAAAAAGCATAGTCCTATGTAGACCAGGCTAGCCTTGGACTTAGAGATCTTCCTGCCTCTGCCTCCCCAGTGCTGAAGGCATTCACCATCAGCCTCTGAATAAAATTCTTTTTGCTAGTATGATCACTTAAATGGAGTTATGTTCTATGGTACAAAAAAGGTGTGAAAATACGCAATGTTACAAATGCTATTTTTATACAATTTGAGAAGCTTGAGTGTAGCAGATCTTTAGGTATCTCTTGAGAGATGGGAAAATCTGCCAATTCTCTGCTAAATACAAGACTTGAGGGAATAATATTGAGTTGTCCTGAAGCCAAGAGACCCAGCCAACCTTGTGTAGCTGTTAGAGGAAGCAATTCCTGAGACTTAAATATAAAAAAATGGAATCACTGTGCCTGGAAAGTGCCGACTAATCTACCACTGAAGTCAGCTGTTGCCAAGGTCCCATAGGTTCTCTAGGGAGAGTCTGTCAGCATCAGCAGAATGCTAGCTTATGCAAATAGGAAGAACAGCCAAGAGTCTTTGGGTTATGGGTCTCTCTAGGTCTTAGGTCAGTTTTTCTCTTCAGTATTGTTACTCTCTGGAGAGAAAAAAAAAATCTAAGTTGCTAAATATTTCAGAAGAAATACATCATTTACGACATTCAGGTGGGAAAAAAATTATATAAATTCCTGTCAGGCAGCAGGGCCAAGTTTTAGGAAGCATAAACAGATTGATAGTTGAAAGAATGTGACATGGAAAGATAGGGTTACAAAGTTTGCAAAACAGAGTTGTCCAGCAGCTAAGAGACCCAGTCAATCTTGTGTAGCTCTCTAGAGTTCTGAGTGAAATGTAAATGAAATGTCTATAAAATTGAAAGTGAAATATTAGAATTTATTTTTTCACTGGCACATTAAATCAGTGGGATTCTGGCTAAGGGTCTTTGAACATCTAATAATACAAAACATAAATAACACTTTTGAAAAACACTATTTTTTTCCAGAAACAAAAATTGAAATTTTCTTTTTTTTTCTTTCCCCCTCCCTCACTACCCTTTTCTTCCTCTTGTTTGTTTGTGATGGTTTCACTGTAGGGTAAAAGGGTCAAACAAAGAAACCCATCCAGGCCCTGAAACCCAAGCCAGTGAAAGCAACACTTTAGCCCTGAACCCAGAAACTAAGAAACACATGCTCACCCTGAAACCAGAGCCAAAGAAATACACTTTGGCCCTGGAACCAGAGCCAGTGAAAAAAATATGCCCTGGCCCTGAAACTAGAGCCAAAAATCTAAAAAAGGCCAGTGAAAGAAACACAGTTTGGCCTTGAAACCAGAGCCAACTCTGTACCTGACCACCTAAACATGAAATCAAACAATTCCTGAGCAGGAAAACCAACCAATCCCTGAGCAGGAAATCAACCAATGGTAATATATCTAAGCTGTTAATAAGGTGATTCAGCCAATGGGTTTGCTACAGTCTGGCATTCCTTTGCCTTCTCTATTGCCTAAAGGATGGCCTCTTATAATTATTGATTTAAAAGATCATTTCTTCACTAAACTTTAAAAGAAAAAGACAGAATATTTGCCTTCACAGTGCCTACTTAAAGTAATTCTCAGCATGCTAAAAGATATCAATGGACGATTCTCCTACTGTAGGGATGTTAAATAGCTTAATTCTGTGTCAATCTATAGTTCACCATTACATGGATGCCATTTTGCTATCTGGTTCAAATGTAGCTACTTTAGAAAGAATTTTTAAAGAAGAAAAATTTGCCGTGTTGAGGCTTACAAATTGCTCCTTAAAAAATTCAAAGAAGAGATTCTATTAATTATCTAGGTTATAAAATAGGTTTACAGAAAATTAGACCCCAAAAGGTGCCAATCAGGAGAGATGGATTACACACTCTTAATAACTTCCAAAGATTGCCAGGAGACATTTCCCATCTTCAGCACACTATTGGGATAGGTCCTAATGACCTGATTAATTAAAAAAAAATAGATGTTGCCAAGGACTTAAATAAATAGTGCCAGGGAATTATGAAGCTGAGAGAGAATTGGCTTTGACTGAAGAGAAATTCCACATGTAGCTCATATGGAATCAAATCTTAACTGCATTTTGGTCATATTACCCTCCAAACATTTCTCTATAAGAATTTTAATACAGAGGAAAGATATTATCTTAGAATGGATCTTTTTACCACATAAACTGAATAAAAAATTAAAAACATGTGGAAAAGGTCTCTGAGTTAATTCTGAAAGGAAAATTGAGACTTCATCTATTAACAGGAACATACTCAGAAGAAATTATAGTACCTTTTAATAATGATATTGACAAATTATGGGAATAAAATGAACCCTGGAAAAGAGCTTGTAGAAACTTTTTGGGAGAGATTAACAACAACAATCCCCAAAACAAAATTTAAAAGAGAACTAACTGTCGGGTGGTGGTGGCGCACGCCTTTAATCCCAGTACTCGGGAGGCAGAGGCAGGCGGATCTCTGTGAGTTCGAGACCAGCCTGGTCTACAAGAGCTAGTTCCAGGACAGGCTCCAAAACCATAGAGAAACCCTGTCTCTAAAAACAAAAAACAAGAAACAAAAAAGAATTAACTGGGTCCTTCCTCACATTGTACAGGACACATCAATAGCTCAAGCCCCTACATTCTATACTGATGCAAATAAACTCAGAAAAGGCAGGTTACAAAACAGAAAATTTAATAAGTGGATCAAAGTCCTTACGATTTTGTCCAAAAGTCAGAATTATATGCTATTCTCATGGTACTAGAGGATTCTAAAGAATCTCTCAACATAGTTACTAATTCACAATATGTAGAAAGAGTTGTTTTGCATATTGAAATCTCTGAATTTATACCAGATAATACAGAATTGACTTTATTATTTATTCAGTTACAAGATACAATCAGGAATAGGAGTCATTCCATATATATAACACACATCCAATCCCACACAGGTCTGCAAGGTCCTCTAGCACAAAGTAATGCAGAAATCGATCAATTATTGATTGGAAATTGCTGAAGCCCTCAGAATTTCATTAAAAACATCATGCCAATAGCAAAGGTTAAAAAAAAAAGATTTTTCCATCATGTGGCAACAAGCCAAGGAAATTATAAGGAGATGTCCTACTGGTTCTTTATACAACCAAATACCACTACCTTCAGGAAGTAACCCAAAGAGTACTCAAAGGAATGAAATCTGGCAGATGGATGTGCTCCATTTTGTAGAATTTGGAAAACTAAAATATGTACATCACACCATGGATACTTATTCAGGTTTTCAATGGGGAACTGCTTTGAGTTCAGTAAAGACTGATTCAGTAATCACACATTTTCTAGAAGTTATGGCCATCATGGGTACATCTGTACAGATAAAGACAGACAATGCACATTTTCATGTTTGAAAGTTAGTATGTCATGCTTGGATAAGAGGCAGTGATATTCTTATATCTGCTTTTATGATGTCAGTTGTGACATTTTGAAGTATATAATGAAAACTTGGTTTCCCAGGGTAGGTGAAAATGGACATAGCACAGATCAGATCATCTGAAAGGCCTTTGAGCCCCAAATGTCATAGTTCAGATCACACTTGGAGTATCATTGAGTTAGGAATGATTTCAATGCAGGGAGGAAAAAAAATCTCCAGTGCATGAGCTGACAATGTTTAAAGCTATGACTGGATCTCCAGTGCATGAGCTGACAATGTGTAAAGCTATGACCTGATCTCCAGTGCATGAGCTGACAATGTTTAAAGCTATGACCTGATCTCCAGTGCATGAGCTGACAATGTTTAAAGCTATGACCGGATCTCCAGTGCATGAGCTGACAATGTTTAAAGCTATGACCTGATCTCTAGTGCATGAGCTGACAATGTTTAAAGCTATGACCTGATCTCTAGTGCATGAGCTGACAATGTTTAAAGCTATGACCTGATCTCCAGTGCATGAGCTGACAATGTTTAAAGCTATGACCTTATCTCCAGTGCATGAGCTGACAATGTGTAAAGCTATGACCTTATCTCCAGTGCATGAGCTGACAATGTGTAAAGCTATGACCTGATCTCCAGTGCATGAGCTGACAATGTGTAAAGCTACGACCTGATCTCCAGTGCATGAGCTGACAATGTGTAAAGCTATGACCGGAGTGTCAGCATGGAGGGAACTGCAATACTGCAGTGTGGTGCAACTTCAAGTTTAACATGTCTAGAACTCCTCTGTGTAACTGCAATACTGCAGCACATGCTACTTCAAGTTTAACATGTCTAAAACTCCTATGTGTTCCTTGTTGAAGTGCAGTTCTGATTCAGCCGATCTGGAGTGAGGTTCGGGAACTGGCATTTCTAGCAAGCAGTTGGGGGTGCTGATGCTACTTCTCCCTGCATCCCACTTTGGCTAGCAAACTCCAGTGTATTATGAAAGATACAGCAGAAGAAAGGCTATTGTGGTATGCACAGGTAAGCCTGGGATATGGGGAGGGTTGGGTGAGAAAAGAGTACAAATATAGTCGTGCTGTTGGCTCTTTAAAAGTTCGTGAAAATGATATATTTTAAAAGTCACAGGCCAGGCAGTGGTGGTGCACACCTTTAATCCCAGCTCTTGGGAGCATCCGCATCACCTGTAGTCAGAGATTTTGATAATTCGTCACGTCTATGTCAACTCTTAAGAGTTTAAACTCTGAATTTCCTGGCCAGCGTGTAGCTCTTGCTAAAAATGGTTCAGTCTATTGAGGCTGTGGGCTTTTGAGCTATTACACTTTGTCTCTCTCATTTTCTTCACTTGTTCAGTTTGCAGGTCATTCTGTTTTTTGTTCGTTTTTTTTTTTTTTTTTTTTTTTGAGACAGGGTTTTTCTGTGTAGTCCTGGCTGTCCTGGAACTGGCTCTATCAATCAAGCTGGTCTCAAACTCACCTGCTTCTGCCTCCTGAGTGCTGGGATTAAGGGCGTGCGCTGCCACCGCCTGGCCAGGTCATTTTGTTAAATAAGGTGCATGCCCATTTTCTGTCTGAAGCTCCCTTTTTGTCATTTCTTCGCCAGTGATCACCTTTGCTGCTCTTCATTTCCGTTAGCACGGCTGCAATTCACAACATTAGGGTAATTAAATTTCCTACAAATTTGTTACCTGCCTGGGGTGGGTTCTGCTGTTCTACACATTAAAAAAAATTTTACTAGGTGTAGTAGTGGTGCATTCCTTTAATCCAGCACTTGAGAAGTGAAGGGCAGGTGGATCTCTGTGAGTTTAAGGCTAGCCTGGTCTTCACAGTGAGCTCCAGGCCTGCCAGGGCTCCATAATGAGACTCTGTCCTAAAGAGAAAAAAAAACCTGTGTGTATGTTTGTGGGTTTGTGCACATAAGTATAGTATCTACAGAGAACAGAAGGCATTGGATCCTCTGGAGGTGGGGTTAGAGACAATTGTGAGCAGCCTCATGCAGGTACCGGGAATTGAACTTGGGTCCTCTGCAAGAGAAATGCATTCTTTTTGTTTGTTTGTTTTTCGAGACAGGGTTTCACTGTAGCTTTGGAGCCTGCCCTGGAACTAGCTCTTGTAGACCAGGCTGGTCTTGAACTCACAAAGATCCGCCTGCCTCTGCCTCTCGAGTGCTGTGATTGAAATTGTGTACCACCACTGCCCGGCTGAGAAATGCATTCTTAACTGAGCCATTTCTTAGACCTTGTGCTCTGAACTTTTATTCACAGCTTTTAGGTACACTATAAATCATTCTCTGTATAGAACAAAGTTCATTTCTAAGATTTTGTCTCATGTTTAAAATTATACAAAAGTCAAAATTCCTTATTTCCCCAAATCAATTTCCTCTCGGCATCTCTAAAATAGTCACATTGCAAATTAAAAGCATGGGCTCTGAAATCAAGGAAGGTAATGATGGATGCTATAAAATAATCGCACACTAGCTCAGAACTGAGTATAATAAAGGGTTATTTATTTAGGGGTAGACTCACAGATCATAGTCCTCTGCACAGATGGGGAACAGGAACCGAATCCAGAATTCGGGAGAGAGCGAGGGTGCACTTTACATCTGCATTTATAGTGTAAGAGGCCGCGCCTAAGTGGGCTAGTATCTTAAGGCTTCTGGCTGAAGGAGTTCCCACAGCAGGAAGGTATGGATTTAGATCCTGGTCCTACTGAACAATGGTTATATAATCTAGGAAATGAGCTGGGTTTTATTTTCAGCTTGTTCTGAGTGCTGACAGTACATGTGGAGGCTCTCTCCTAAGGAGGGGCACTCAATAGATGGGGAGTGGTCATCCTTGCCTTTCCTGACTGGCTCCAGAGAGCTAGGCAAGTGCCAATACTCTTTTGGAGATTTTTATTGTTAAAATTTTTAAAAATTAAAAAAAAAACTACCTTATACATATGAATTTTTTGCCTATGTGTGTTTACGCACCATGTGTCCCTGGTTTCTGCAGACATCAGAAGAGGGCTTCAAAGTCCGTGGAACTGGATGGTTGTGAAGCCCCATGGATTCACACAGGGGCTGGGAACAGAACCCTCATCATTTGCAACAGCCATAAATGCTCTCAACTACTAAGGTCATCTCTTTAGTCCTTTGAAGAGTCTGAAATTACCAGGGTCACCATCCTAGACTAAGTAAGCCCTGTTGTGTAACAACAGAGATTGGAACATCCATCCTGCAGGGAAGCTTCTGCAGCAGGAAGGTAGACAGCTCAGAACCTGCAGTGTGCTTCAGGTTTAGTTTGGTGAGCTGTCACAGGTGCTGGGGTGGACTTTGGTGATGTAGCTGTCTTTGAGCCATTTCTGCTCCTGTAAGTAACCCGCATTCCTGTTAAGTAATCCCAGTAAAACCCGTTGGTTTACCAAGGTGGAGTTTGGTGGTGTCCATATCTTGTAGCTCCCAATCTGGGGTGTAGATGTGTGTGTGTCTCTCCAGAAGTCTTGTCACACGTCCTTTTTATCACTGGCAGATTTGCTAGTAACTACTGGTACTGACCTCAGGTCATTCCACACTGGTCTCTTTTTAACGATTCTAAAACATTACTCCAAATTTTGAGAGCCTGATTATGATCACATGATAAAAACTCATGTTTGCTTGTTTACATGATTTGGTCCCCAGCCTGCCTTTCAGCTCTAGCGTGTAAGCTAGTGTATTTCCAGGAAACGTTTTCTTGTCATCAGTGCTTGGCTGTTTCATCTTCCTTTATGCGAATTCACTAGGCAATATATTCTCTTTCTGGATTGTCCTCATACTATTCAAGATTTTTCAAGGGATCTCTTCAGTGGAAAATGAAGCCCACCCCTTCCAAACGCCTCACTTCTTATGGCACTTATGTGAAATTCACCTGTTTTAATTTTAATCAAATACAAGCTTATGGTTTACTGCTAGATAACAAGTTTCCTATTAATTTCATATTCAAACTAATACTGAGTTAATCAGTATTTCAAGGTAATGATGTCACCCAGCAGAGTGCCTGATTTGCACAAGGCCCAGGTTTGGTTCCCAGTTCTGAAAATCGCCCTTCTCTCCTACTAAAGAAATGCAGTATCAAATAAGAAGATTACAAACCTGCAGTGTACCAAGGAACAACATTCTGAGTTGAACTGGCATTCTAGTGCTTTGGGGTATTCTTGCCTGTTGGTAATTTTAAAATAAGCGTAGTATTCTCAACAGAGAAAATGCTTCATTTCATGTTTGGTTGATATGAAAGTAACATCTCTATCAGCCTCCATTCTGAAATTAAGTTATTAAAAAGTCCTCCAAAGCTCATAAACGAAGAGAGGTGGCACTTGTTACAAAAGTGGCGCCCAGTTAAGGATGTAGCTTTGTGACCGAACACTTGCCTAGCATGTCACGTCCACCTTCAGTGCCACAGAAGAGTTCAGTGCCGTGGTGGCACACACCTTTAACCGGAGCACTTGGGAAGCTGCAGCAGTATTGGGCTAGTGTACCTACTGAGACTTTGAAATACAGCAAATGGTACACAATAAATATTTCTCCCATCTACATAAAACAGCCTGTAGTTCTAAGTGAGTTTATAAAGACTTACCTTCTTTTGCTCAGTAAACTGAAACCTGCGCACTCACTGCACAGAGATTCTTTTATGCTTGGGATTCCCCCTGCAGAGGCAGCTTTTCTAGAGAATCTGATTCTAGAGAATCAGTTTCCATACTTTGAACGTCAACCATGGATAAGTCTTTACCAAAATTGATTTTATTTAAAATGAACTTGGAACAGATTAGTTCTAAGTATTTTCCTATGATTTAAAAATTTTGTTATGACTTCACTATTTTGTTACATGGCACAGGGACTTAAATGTAAAATACACATAAATTTGTCCTGTCAACTATTTAAAAAGTATACAATTTGATAACTTAGTAATTTATAACCTTGTTCAACCACTTGGTGCTGGAACATTTTCATTCACCCAAGATGAAACTCCACCACCATTAGGCAGTCACCCACCTTCCCTTTGTCTCTAGAGTTCCCGGAAACTTCTAATTAGCTTAGTCTCTATAAACATACCTATTTTATTAAAGCAGAATCATATACTCAGTCTTCTGTTTCTGACTTACTTAATTTAGCATTTTTCTTTGGGGTGGGGATGTTTGAAGACAGGATTTCTCCGTGTGTAGCCCTGGTTGTCTTCTAACTAAATGGCTCTGTAGACCAGACTTGGTCTCAAACCCAAGAGATTTGCCTGCCTCTGTCTCCCTTAGTGCTGGGATTAAAGGAAAGGACCACCACCCAGCTCTCTTAGCATCTTCAATGTTTACCGCCTATCAGTTCCTGTCAGCCTCTCAACCATCGGGGATTGCGGGTATTATCTACAATACTGTCTTCATTCCTTCTAGTGATTGAAAAATTGCTTTTCCAAAAATTTTGTATGTGATAGACTGGATGAACAATGAACTAAAGCAACCCTGCTCTTTGGGACGTTGGTTGTTTTTTGTAAGCAAGGCTATGTCTAAATAGTGATTCTCCAACACTGTACAAAGCTCCCCAGGGCCAAAAGACCACTATTAATTTAAACAAGCATTTAGGTGACATTGATGGGAAGAAAGCTTCCCACAATGCTTCAGCAATTCCTTTTCTCTGTTGAAACCAACATAGGGAGAGGGTACTAAAGTGAAAGAGCACATTTGTCCTAATTCTGTCCATCTTCCAAAAAGAAAAATCCTAAAACTTGTATCTTCTACCTAAAGCAGAAACTTGGATGTCAATCTGACAATAGTTACTAGGTCAAGAACATTCTTTCCATGGTAGCAACTCTTTCTTCCTTTCACTAGGGAAAGTCTCAGCAAGAAGCATTGTGCTCTACTGGGGTAGACCCTCACTCAACCATCATTCCTAAGAATTCCACTACAAATGGTGGCAGGAGTGTTTCAGCAACTTTCGGGCTCAAAAAACTGTAGCCAATTAATTTTACTCCTGGCAACTACTTTTTAAAAGAGGTGTGTTTAAATATGAAACCAGCTGCCGGTGTGACTAAGATCGAGGGCTATTTACTACGGACACAGAACAACTTAATGTGGGGCTTCTAGAAAAAACAAAGTCACATTCCCTCCCAGTAACTGCTTCCAAGTTCTAGAAGCTGACATGAATTCTTTTCGGATCTAGCAATGTAGGGTGGTAGGTGATTCTGTTTCTATTTGTTCTACTTCATGGTAACCTTTAAAAAACACAAAATTATTTAGATGTGGTATTAGTCATATTTCAAAGAAGCTCAAAGAACTCAAATATTTCTCCCTTACATTAAGAAATAAGATCCTCATAAAGCACAATCTGCAGAGCACTAAGAATTCCTGTAGAATTCACGTGCAGTGCCACCTTCCTCTGACCTGGACAACCAACTGCCCCAATGTGTCATTTTCTCCACGAGGACCCCACATTAGATAGGTACAAACCACAGCAGAAATTAAAGTTTTCATCTTTAATGAAATGACTTTGGAAACGGTACATTTCCATGACGCCAGCACTACAGCTTTTGGGGTCACAGTAAGATACACAGAATTACATCCGTAATTACTATGAATGCCAACATTTCAGGCAGTAATTTCTGTTACATGGCAAACAAGATCAAGAAAGCAACCATCAAACAAAAGAGTCCCATAGCTTCAGACAAGGCAAATCCCAGGATAGCATATGAGAACAGCTGCTGCTTCAGTGAAGGGTTTCTAAAAGACACAATGCAACACAGACAACGGTTACACATTATTTAGCAGATGGTCAAGGATCAGATAACTAGCATGAGGATCTCTGCAACCTAGAAAGTTCTATAGAGGCGCTATCTCCCTACACTACCTTGCTTCTGTCTCTCAAATTGTTTTCTTAAAACCCACTCCTAATCATGTGGCACAAAGTTAGGGAGCTCTCTTTGTATGCATATATAAATGCTTAGTTTACACCCACTTTGAGGGGTCCCGATATTCTTGAGATTGGTCTCAAATTTACGATCCCCTTGTCTCTCTCCTGGCTGGCTGGGGTTAGAGTGTGTGCCCTTTCAGTGACTAATGCACACAGCTCACAAAATACAACGGGAGACACACAGCAGACACGACAAAGGAGCTACCATTACTTCACTACTTTCCTATTTCCAGCTTCCCACTGTCTAACTTCCTCTGGGACAGAAGTGATTACCTGGCATAACCAATGATAAGGCTGCCAAAGACTGTTCCAATACCAGCACCAGAACCTGCAACTCCTACTGTTGCAGCACCTGCACCAATGAATTTGGCAGCAGTATCAATGTCTCTGCTGATTACACTGGTCTGAAACTCCCTTCGGATCAGCTGACACGCACCATTCTGGGCCCCATTAAATACTGTAGAGCCCTGGGAACGAGAAATAAGGCAAAGGTCAATTCAGCAATCACATCCATTTTAACCACTGTACTGTCAAAATGGTGACGTCTTTATAGTGTAGCTTGGTATGAACAAATAACTGCATGGCACAATGAAAAAGAAAACCAAGAACTTGGACTAATTCTTATCTTGTGTAAGATCATTAACAATCTATACCTATACCTTCTAGAGTTGTTAAAATTATGACAGAATATGTGAATGTTTTTCAACACAGCAGGCTCTTTTTGATAGTCATGACTACTTTGATCTTAAATACAAATAACTCAAAACTACCGGCTTAAAATACAGACTAAAACATTCATTTGCTAAGTCGGCTGTTTTGGCCAGCAGAGTTCCTCTCAGAGGCTCATTCTACACATTGTTGATTAAAGTGGAAAGAAACTACCTTGGAGCCATTCACCCTTCGCTATAACAACCCTGAAAACTTATTTCCTCATCTTTATTATCACTACTTACCTCTCCAGTCCTAGCCTCGGGTCGAGATAACACTGCTGCTGAAATTGGTCTATATGCAACTCTGGATCCAGCTCGGATCTATCAATGGAAGGAAAGGAAAAATTTCAAGTATAAGGAATATAGGTGGGTCTTCTCGTAACCATAAATTCCAAAGGAGAAAGCTGAAGTGAAAATGAGCAGAGATTTACTTCTCTGTACAATGATCTTGGCTGTTTGGTCCTTTTGAACTCAACAACACTCCAGGCTAAGGAATTGTAAACCGCGATCTAATCGATCTGTGAACTAAAATCCTAAGAACAATTAGTTACAAAGTGACTGAGCACTGCTGTGGAAGTTTCAGTAAGGGCAATTTTGTAATTCAAGTAAGTCCCTGTGGGCCAGCAATATATTAAAAGTGTCACTATGAATGCTATCATTTACAACAGCCCAGCAGTTAATACAGCTCCCAGTATTTCCAAAGTATTCCTAAATGCCCACTAAGCACAGATTTACTACAGAGTTTAAGTAGTAAACTCTGGCACCATAAGGACATCTTGCCTTCTGGCTTCTCTGCCCTTGAGTGTCCACAACACTAAGGTCACAGAAAATTCCTTCAGAGCCCGGACCTGATTCTCTAGGACAAATCCATTAGGTTCAGACTTTCAGTCTCTGAAAAGAAAGCTTCAGGGCTCCCCTACCACCTTTCTCCGCCCACACAGGGAAGCAAAGGCCCTCCCTCTGCAGCGGCAGAGTTTGACCTACGGACACGCATGGGAAGGAAGCGCTGCAGAGGCAGCTAGGCCTCAGCGGCACCCTCCCAACTCCCAGCACCCCGACCTTCGCGTCGACCCCAACTCCACCGGGACCGGGGGTGGGGTGTGGTGGGGGAGGGGCGCGCTCCAGGAGCAAGGAGGCTGTGACCTACGCTGAGTGGGGCCTGACAGGCCTCGGGGGACGCAGGGCGTGGGGACGGTCTGCCGGGCAGGGTGGGGAGGGAAGGGGTAAGGAGGAAAGAAGGAGGGTAGGGAGGGCACCGGGGCAAGGGTGAAGGAGAGCCGGTCCCTCAGCGGGTACGCTGGGCCGAGGCCTGGGCTACGCACCAGAGCGGGGGTGCGGGCGAGCTTGGCGCAGGCGAACATCTTTCCTCCCGGCGGTGCGGCGTGGATGTGGGTGACAGGCGACGTGGGCTCCTCTCCCGCTCCCTCTGTGCGGAGGGAAAGAGGCTTAAGGTCAAGTGTCCCCCAGGGGCCTGCCCTTCCCACCCCGGGCCCCCAGGGCCCCCGCGCAGGCCGTCGGCGTGGCCGCGTGCCCGGGAGGTGCAAGCCCGGTGGATGGGGCCCAGCGGCCCGCTCCGCCCCGGGCCCGCGCCCTCCGCTTACCTCCGCTTACCTCCCGAGGCGGCGGCGGCGGCGGCGACAGCGGCGGCAGAGGTCGAAGGAAGCAGTGGGGCTGGGCGCGCAGGCGCGGTGCGGCTCTTATCCACGCCGCAGCACCCGGATGGAGAAGGCGGGGGTAGACGCTCAAGGTCACTTTGTAACAACTTTATTAGTAACCAGCAGAGGAGGACAAGGACAGACACACGGCCGCAGGCCGGCGGGCAATGGAATTAAAAAGAGCTCGCAAAAGGCTACCCCCGGCGTTGTTAACGTCACTAAGGGTGCAGATATTTTTAAAATCTTTTTCCGCTATTGCGGACCGAGCCTTGCACCTTGGAGGTGCCAGACACAAAACTACAAGCTAACCCTCTTTGCACTTTTATTACAGACGGGGTGAGTTGCCCACGCAGGCCTTGAACCTGTGATCCTCCTGTTTCAGCCTTCCAAGTAGCTGGGATCACAGGTCTGCACCACCAGGTCCAGGGGGATTATTTCTTTAAATGAACCCAGAAAAAGGTGTTTAGACAGCTAATCTTCCTTCAGAAAGAGGTCCTTATTAGAAATACTGGGATAAACAAATAAGCGGTCAACTGCTTTTTTAACTATGTAGCCTAGCCTGGCCTCCTTCACTGAACTCTCTTGCCAAGTGCTGGGATTAAAGGCGACGGTGTGCTTGGCTTCCCCCCCCCCCCTCTCTCTAGACAGGCCTTCTCTGTAGTTTTGGAACCTCTCCTGGAAACTAGTCCTTGTAGACCAGGCTGGCCTCAAACTGCCTCTGAGTGCTGGGATGAAAGACGTGCGCCGCCACCGCCCGATTTGTGTTTGGCTTTCTTCCAACTTTATAGTTAGAAGAATTAAGAGATTATAATGTGCTGGGTGGTGCTGGTGTACTTTTTTAATCCCAGCACTCGGGAGGCAGAGGCAGATAGATCTCTGTGAGTTCGAGGCTAACCTGGTTTAGAGAGCAAATTTCAGGACTGGTTCCATAGCTAATGAGAAACCGTGTCTCGAAACAAACAAACAAACACAGCAAAAATCAAAAATTGAGATTATAACTATCATAATTTTGGACTAAAAAGTGTGTGAATGTTCTTTGAAGTTTATTAAGCACCTATTTTTGGTAACTTTGAACAAACCAGGTGAATGTCTCAGATAAATGACTGTTGTTGAACTTCTGGTCTCGTTATAGATTTTTAAAAATGTTTTTTTGAGATTATAATGACATAGTTTTCCTTTACTGTTTTCCTCCCCTGAACCCTCTACATACTCAACTCCCTGTCTTTTTCAAATTCATGGTCTCTTTTATACACACACACACACATTCCTAAATATAAAAATATTATATTCAGGCTCTGCCTGAATAATGTTTTAATCATGGTATTTTCCTTGGCGCTCTCCCCAGCCCCAGACAATCACCATTCTTTCTTTTTTTTTTGTGAACTTGACTACTGTAGGTCCTTCATTTAAGTCATGCACTATTTTTTTTTGTAATTAGTTGCCATTTCCTCTAATTTTGTTATTACATTCATTTACTGGCCTTGTGCTTATGTGAGGGGAGGCATATGTGTATGGATGTATAAGCCAGTGTGCTTGTAAAGGTCGGAGAATACCGGAGGGAGGCAGTACCCTCCTACCCTGCGGATCTCAGGATTGAATTCAGGTCAGCAGGCTCAGGGGCAAGCAAGCAGCTTGACTCACTGAGCCGTCTAGCAGCATACCCGTCCTTTTCTTAAGTTCCTGTTGTGTATTTTTGAGATTAATCTAGTTATATAGTTCACACCGACTTGGAACTTCGTATCCTCCTGCCTCAGCCTTGAGAGGGCTGGGATCACAAGTGTGTACCAAGTACTTGGTTAATAACTGATTTCTTTCACATAGCAGATGTCTTCATAGTTCATCCAGGTTGAGGCATGTGTAAGAATTTTCTTCCTTTATAAGGCTGGATCTGCCTTCCTCTGCCTTCAAGTGCTGGGATGAAAGGCCTGTGCCACCACTGCCTGTCTTTTTTCATCTTTGAAAAGGTTATTTATTTATTTTTAAAATATTTATTTTTCTTTTATATATATAAATGTTTTGCCTGTGTGTGTGTGGGGGGGGGGGGGTGGTATGCCAGATAGCAAAGGAGGTCAGAAAAGGATACTAGATCCCGTGGAGTTGGAGTCACGGATGGTAGTGAGCCACCGTGTAGGTCCTGGGAACCAAACGTGGGTCTTTCTCAAGAACAAGCGCACTTATTTAACTACTGAGTCACTGCTCCAGCTTTCTATGTTTTATTTTTTATTAACATGTCTGTCTGTATGCTTGGGTGAATTTCTGCCATGTGTGTGAGGGTCCAGGGAAGCCATAGGAGGGTGTTGGATCTCTGGAGCTGGAGCTGTAGGTGGTTATGAGCCATTTGATATGTGTTGGGAACTAAATTCTGGTCTTCTAGAAGAGCAGGGAGCATTCTAAACCTGAGTCATTTCTCCAGCTCCTCCTCCTTCATCTTTTATTTATTGCTTGCTCTTTTGGTTCTCACAGAATATTTGTCCCCGAGGATAGAGATTTTGTCATGCTTATTGCTGTATCCACACTTTAGAAAATGCTTGGCTTACTAATCAGTTAATTAATTTGGGCAGTCAGTAAACTATTGAGCAATAAGGTTGAGAAGAAATACAGAAATTGTTAATCTTTTATTTCCATCTATCTATTATTTGATATGTTATAGTAAAAATGGATTATTTAAAAATATAAAAATCAGTACATTAGGGATATTTTAATAATTTATAGTGATCGATAACAATACTTTTCCTATTGTGCTTGCATTGGTGAAAAAAGGCTAAATGACTAAATGAATACTAAATTTCAGGTCTTGGTGATGAACTTGTGTATACTTTAGGCAGTAACTGCATTCAATATTCTTCAAGTTACATTCAAACTCTTAATATATATAAGGCTAGGCTATCCTTGTTTGAAAATATTATGTTCTCATATATATGGCATCTTACCTCCGTATTGGCTAGAATTATTTTATATACAGGTAGGTTTTACACAAATTTCAGTGGGTTTTGTTTTGTGTTGAAAATCAATTCTTAGTGTAAGTCCATATCTTCCTCAAAAAATCAAAACCATCTATTTTTTTTAGAAGACTTGAATATTTAACATATACTTAAGAGATGAAAAATTAATAATTTATTTTTATTTTATGTGCATTGATGTTTTGCCTGCATGTATGTCTGTGTGAGGGTGTCAGATTTTGGAATTACAGACAGTTGTTAGCTGCTGTGTGGTGCTGGGAATGGAACCCAGTTTCTCTAGAAGAGTAATCAGGGCTCAGTGCTCTTAATACTGAGCCATCTCTCCAGCCCCATGAGATGAAAATTTTTATAACACTCAAAACATCTGTAAGCATTCTTTTTTTAGTTTAAAAATATTTTTAAAAATTTTGTGTGTGGGGGGGGGCGGGAGCACGAATAGACTCCAAAGATAGGGCCCACTGGAGCAGCCTGATGTGGGTATTACAAACAGTCTTAACTACCAAGCAAGACCCAAGAAAGCTCTTCCTACCATTTTTTTCTCAGCGCTAGTCCCAGGGAGGTATTTGTGCGTTACATTACTAACCCTAAGGTTATGTGATTATGAAGCTACTCTATCGATTAAAAATTATGTGGCTTCCATATTGTGTATATACTTTATGCTGATTAATGCTCATTTTGAATTTACTTCTGGATTATTATGGCCTCGTGAAGGAAAAACACGGTTACACAGTACTAACCATACTTTTCTTGGCACCTTTTCCTGTTACTAATTTTAAAAAAGTTATCCATTATATGGATAATATCACAGTTTATACTGCCCATCTAACCCTGAAAGACTTTCTAATCTAAGCACTTTGATAATTACCTTTGTTTCCTATGGCCCATCTTCAAGTCAGGTAACCTGGTCTAAAAAGGTGATGCATATACAATTTTAAAGTGTGTTTTTCAGAAGCAAAGCATTAAAGAAATACACTTTATAAAATAAGATCTGTAAGTGGAATCATCAAGATTCATTTATATGCTAAGTTAGAGCTTTGCCTAAATTGCCTCCTTGATTTAGAATAGGCAAGATCAAGATTTTTAATTTTTCCCAGTACTGGAGATCAAGCCTAGGAAAGCACTCTAATGTAAGAGGCACATTTAAATGTTAGAAAAAGCTTGAAGTAGAAAAAATGGCCAGATAAACACTTAGATGCAGGATGGTTGAGGTGACTCCCGTGAAAGATTTACTCTAATCCCAAAGGGGTTTTGACCCACAGGTTGAAAACTTCTGTTTTAGACTCACTTTAATTTAATTTATATGTTTTTTTCAAAAAAATTATTCATTTTTATTTGATGTGTATGACTATTTTTTCCTGCTTGTGTGCTTTGTGCTTAAGGAGACGGGAAGAGGGTGCCAGATCCCCTGGAGCTGGAGTTATAGATGGTTGTAAGCTGCTCTGTGGTCCTAGGAGCAGAACTCTGGTTCTCTACAAGAGCAGCTTTTAAATGGTGAACCATCTCTCTAACCCCTAAATTAAGTGGCCAATTGAATCAATTAAGTCTTTTCTCATTTTATCCTCCCAAAGGCACACCATGTTTTCCTCCTCCCCCACCATTGCCATCTGTAGTAAGAGGAGTGGCGGGCCATGCCCCGCTGCCCTGCTAGATTAACCCCAAAATAATCACACAGAAATTGTGTTAATTAAATTACTGCTTGGCCCATAAGCTCTAACCTCTTATTGGATAATTCTCACATCTTGATTCAACCCATTTCTAATAATCTATATGTCACCACAAGGTCATGGCTTACCGGGAAAGATTCAGCATGTCTGACCTGGCAGCTTCATGGCTGCTCTCTCTTTCTGCCTTCTTTCTCCCAGCATTCAGTTCTCTTTTCCCTGCCTATCTAAGTTTTGCCCTATCAAAAGGCCAAGGCAGTTTCTTTATTTAACCAATGACAGCAACACAAATACAGAAGGACCTCCTACACCAGCCAACACCAGCAGCATAAGGTACTAGGATCTAGGCACCTCTTGAGAACCTGGCACAGTCACCCATCTGTGTAAGGCAGGCAGTTCCCTGACTGTAAGCAGATGCAAAGGTCCCTTTAAGGGACAAGCTCCGCCCACTCCAGTGTCTTTTTCTGTCTCTCTCCCTCTCTCTTCCTGATGAGGCAAGTGGGTCTCTGCCTCTTTCCCTCCACCTCACTCTCTCTCTCCCCCTTCTCTCTGCCGGTCTCTCTCTTCCTTCCCTCCCTTTTAAGAAAAACCCACACTCAAGTTCTCTCTGCATGGAGTATTCTGTCACTCACTGCATTTGGACCTCGCCCACCATGAGACCCGCTGCCAAGGTCCCTTTCTTACCTTATCAAAGCATAAGTGTCTAACCCTAGGTAGATAAAGGGATTTATTGTCTATTTTTTCTCTGCTACTTTTTTTTGTCCTTTTATTGCAAGAGTAGTGTTTATTGGGAGTTATTACTAATTAAAACATGACATGTCTCAATAGTTACTTTTCAACCATATTAGAAATCCATGTAGACAGATCTTCAGATCTGTTTCAATTTTAACCTATATCCACAAAATAACAGAAGCAAAATGAAGTGGCATAGTAGGACATAGCCACAAGTCTGATTGGGCGCCTGTGCTCTTTTTCAGTGGCTAGTATCTGGAAAGACCCTAAAGTACTTCATCTCTATAGCTATGTCAGAAAAAAAAAAAAAAAGAAAACCTTAGGAGTCCCATTAATTCTTCCATCCCACTCACCTCAGCATTCTCTGGAACAGAGGAAAATATCTGGTAGCTTACTGTTCAGAGTGTGAACTAGTCATGTCCTGGGAACCCAGGGCCAAGCCAGTTCTCCCAGAACCAAAGCCTTACTCTGGACCGATGCCATGAACCATGGCTTGCTTTCATTCTTGTTCAGGCTTTCATCTCTGCTACTTTTAAAAATGAGTTTTTGGAAAGTCCTCCCCCCCCTTTTAAAAAAAGACATAATCTCATTTTGTTGAGGCTGGTCTAGAACTCAGTGTATAGTCAAGGTTGACTTTGGACTTTTGCCTCCACCTCTCCTACACTGGGATTACAGAAAGAGCCATCATGTCTGGCATGGAGGGTCCTTTCGGTAGGTAGAATGTTCCTTCTGAATGTGTTTGCATCCTAATCCTCAGAACCTGTGAATGTGTTATCTCACGTGATCAAAGGGTCCTCACAGAGGAGATTAAATCACAGATATTGAGACGAGAAAACGGTCTTGTATCTGGATGAGCACAGTATAATCCCAAGAGTCTTTCTAAGTGAAACAGAGGGGAGACAGGGGATGTGGTGGCAGAAGCAGAGGTAGAGGGGACACAACGAGAGGAAGACTCCACTAGTTGTTACAAGCTCTGAAAGCAAGGATGGCCACGAGGCAAGAATTGTGGGTCATTTCCAGGATCTAGAAAGGGCTCAGGATAGGTTTTCCTGTACAGCCTTTAGAAGAAGCATAGTTCTCCCAACATATGGAGTATAGTGTGCTGAGATCCCTGTCAAACCTTTGAACTCCAAAACAGAGCTAGCAAATGTGTGCTGTTGGAAGTCGCCAAGTGTGACAATTTGTTATAGCAGCATTTTGAAACTAAAAAAGTTATGAAGCTCTTGCCTGATTCATTGTATGGTTCATTAATATGAAAGCACAAATCAAGGGATGTGGGTGGAGCCTTGATTTAGAGTTCAGGCTGCTGAGTTACCCATTGTCTTGAGAGATAAGCCATTTGTTATGGGTCTTACATTTGTACAATGCCATATGAGCCACAGTAGCTGGCAAGTGATGACGTGATTTCCAAGGGGACAGTGAGACCAAGCTTATTCAGGACCATTAAAGTTTTGAGAGATACTTTGTAACTGTGTCTACTTTGCTTCAGTTAAATTCACAGCCAACTCAGTGTCTTTAGTTACCTCATGTGGATATAATCCAAATACAAGCTGCCAAAATGCAGAGGGAGAGTAAAAACCCAAACCAACAGAACTAGGGTGTGTGGTGGTGGTGACAACAGGATAGAAATTAAAATCAGACGAAATGCCTTTACTCTTTGCTGTTGCCAGCTTATCTAGATAAATAGCATTACCCTTGAGATTTTCTAATTCCTTCTAGAGATCTCTTGCCTCAGAGTTTTTATTTAATTTGGATTTTTCTCCTGCCAAAATACTGACTCTTGGCCTCCTTGGCACATGCTTTGATTTCTTACCAACTTCTTAAAAAAAAAAAGTAGTATGATCTTTTAAAATTATACATAACTCACACCTGATGCTGGGGTTCTTGTTCATTGCCTTTGGCTCTTAGTGGGAGCATTGTCAGTCTAAACGGGGAAAAAAAATTTAATTCTGTCTGTCTGTCTATCCATCCATCTATCTGTTAATATATACATGCCAGATTTACCTGTGTTATAGTGGGTTTTTTTTGGTAGATAGTTCATAATATGATTCCTTATGACTTTTCAGACATTTTTATTATTATTTCACCCTCCTCTCTTCTTCAGTATCTATCTCTTTGCTTCCCTAATTAGAACTTTACTCCCTTTTAAAGGACATTACTTAACTTTTAAACTATTTTTAATATACCCTCCCTTTTCTCTCCCAAGTCTACGTATATATTTCAATACACTGTAACCATTTGCGTTTTTTTTTTTCCTCCAATTTGGATCTGTCTTTACTGAGCACCTGTATTGTTGTCTGATTTCATGAGACAAATCTTTAACTGCTACATCAGCTGCCAGCCCAGCTCAGCTTAGTGTATGGTGGTAGTACATGGTGGTTAGCAGCTGGCTCCAATTTGCAGGCACCTGTTAGGAAACACTTTTCTGTACTGTGGCTGGTATGAGAGACCCAAGTCTAGAAAGTCATGTTTGGCTCTGTTTTTGTGTGTTTAGAGCCTTTCAAAGCTTTCTCAGGTCTTATATGGATGTATGTGCTGGACATTTGGGTGCCGTTTGTACTTTTCTGTCCCATCATCACTCCCCAAGTAACCACATGGAGACTTAATTATCAATTCTTGGCCAAGAGCTTAGACTTATTACTAGCTAACTCTTACACTTTAAATTAGCCCATTTCTATGAATCCATGCACTGTCCCAACCTCATGTACGTACTTCTCATCCTGCTCACCCTGCATCTCCTGGTGACTCCTGGTGACTTTGCCTTTTTTTCTCCCCAGCATTCTCTCTGCCCTGAAAATCCTGCCTAGCCGTTGGACAATCAGTATTATTATTATTATTATTAACAACAATGAGAGCAGCACATCTTCACACAGTGTACAGAAGGATTATTCCACAGCCCAACAAAAAGGAAATCATGCCTGGAAACTAGCCAACTAGTCAGGGCTAGTGAAGTCATGGATCTTGGAGGAGAGCCTGCAGCCATCACTTCACTAAACCAGCATAATCCTAACCACATACTAAATATGTGTTTTAACACCCACAGGTAAGTGTAGTCCTCACCCCCTCACTGTGAAAGTGCACACACTGTGTAGGTCAGTCTGGCCTCAAACTTGTGGTGAGTATTCTGTTTCTGCCTCTTGATGAGTTACTGGCACTACCACACTAATGTCTACATGTACAGACTTTTTTTTTTGGTGACTATAAGAAGATTCTCTCATTTTATTATTTTTTGAATTTGTATGAAAATAAGGATTGTGTCATTGATATTTACACATGTTTCCTAAGAACCATAAGATTCTCTCATATAACCAGACTATTGTATAAAATTCAAAAAATATTACATTGATATAAAACTTTTATCCGCTGTACAATTCATATTTCAGTTACCTCAACCAAACCCTTTATGGAATTATCCACATATTTTTTTTGAAACAGGGTTTCTCTGTAGCTTTGGAGCCTGTCCTGGAACTAGCTCTTGTAGTCCAGGCTGGCCTCGAACTCACAGAGATCCACCTGCCTCTGCCTCCCGAGTGCTGGGATTAAAGGATGCACCACCACAGCCTGGTTTTTTCCCCCATCTTTTTAGTATCTCTCATGCTATTCATCATTTTGAAGAATGTAAGTCTACTTCATCCTTTTTCACTACTATAATAATATTAATTGTTCGTTTCTTAGTTGTAAACAATAGAAATTGTCTTTGGATGATGAAAATAAGAAAGGGTTTATTGAAAAGGTATTTAGGAGTTTCTATAGTGCCAGTATATAAATATATATTATTTCATATATTTTATTACAGCGTATGTTAAATATAACAATATTGTTAATAATATTAGGATTAATAAAAATACTAATGATATTTCTTAAGTGTTTATAATATGCTTGACTCTGTCCTATTATATGTATTGTCTTATGTCACATATAATCTTATGAGATAAATTTATTTTTAGGCAGTCCTAACATCATTTTAAAAATGAGGCAACTGTGGATTATGGAGGTTAAGTAGTTGCCCCAAATAACTTACATAATAAGTTAGTTTCAAAGTCAGGTTTTATCTGTTACTAAGGTCTATCATTTTTCTATTCCATGTTATTCTAAGACATAACTTGAAAACCTTACTTTAAGATACTTGCTAGAAAATAAATGATCTGTGATAACCTGGAATATTATATTAAATATTAGTTCAGTTGTTGTTATATGACAGTGAGAGCTGTATGCTAAAAAACACATACATGCTCATCTTTTTCCCTGTATCTGAAAACATCTTACACACATGAACTCATGCTAGTAGAACTGGCCAGAGATTCTGCAGTGTGCACCTCAGAGAGTCCCCACTTGGGGGCACCCACAATGCAGCTTTTCTGCCTGTTCTCTTGCCTAGAAGCATCCAGCCCTGCAGAATTGGAATGCAGCCAGATGACAAGCTCAGTCTGTTCTAGAAGCCTCAGATAGCCAGATCTGATGTCTCTAAGAACGGCTTCCTTTCTCTGCAAGTTCAGGGAGTATCATAGTTTGCTACCCACACATAAACCATTATGTGATGCTTAAAAAATTAATAATTAGTGCATTTGCTACAGGCCAAATGTGCTATATATAATGTTAGGATTTAAGACCAAAGACTAAAAATAATTTTCTGATAAAAAAGATTTATTTGTGGCAATATTTTTAAAATTTATGCCATGCCAAAATTAAGAACATACTAATTTGCCATCAAGTGTAAGAAATATATGTGTGTTATTATATATATATATATATATATATATATGTTATATAATGTTATTAACCAATTAACCATATTTTTTTGAGACAAGGTTTTATGTAGTCCTGGTTGGCCTTAAACTAGCTATGTAACCTAGGATGAGTGAGTGCTGGGATTACAGGCATGCACCACCCCCCACAGTGTGTATGGTGCCAGGGACGGATCTGAGGGCCTCATGAAGAGGACAGAGAGAGAGTGGCTGAGCCGGGCTGGGAAAGCACTATACCAACCGAGCTATAGCTCCGGCCTTCGAGCTAGGTGCTTTAAATTTCATCTGCATTGAATTCTCACGTTCCTGGCTCTCCAGTAAGGCTGTCTACTGTTGGCGCCCAGAGCAAAGGAGGCTTCTTGGAGATATGGCTGCCGCTGACATCTCCTGGTCAGTCATTTGGTGCTCAGCCTCACCAATGGCTGAAGTTCTGCTGGGATTAAACCCATACCAAAGATGCTTCCGGCTCAGATGTAGTTTCTGTGACTATGCCTAGGAAGGGGCTCTTATTCTAGAGCATAAAGTGAGAAAGCATGTAGTATGAGACTGTACTGGATGTGGTTGTACACTGTCCTGACTAAAGGGACATTGGAAAGGAACTATTTTTTGGTGCCCTATAAATCTGCCTTTCATATGACTCCCTGGAATAGAGGGAGCCAAAACACAGATCAGAGAGCAACTGATGGGGTGGCGTGACTCAAGACCTGTGATCTGGTCGTTCATGAGAGTCTGATTTGGGAAATAGAATATGTGGTGGGTAATAGTAGAGACTGGTATGGAAGGATGTATAAGAAGGCTGTGTATAGACTAGAGGTAATAGTAGAGACTGGTATGGAAGGATGTATAAGAAGGCTGTGTATAGACTAGAGGTAATAGTAGAGACTGGTATGGAAGGATGTATAAGAAGGCTGTGTATAGACTAGAGGGCAAGAACAAAGCCAGGGTATTGGGAGCCACAGTTTGAAGAAAATAAGATACTAATTAAGAAAATAAGATACCAATTAAGCCAACTGTGAGAAGGAAGCAGGCAAGAAAGGGGGGTCTAGTTTTGGGGGAATGCCAACAGGACAGGTGAAGGTGGGTTGCAGAGAGCCTGGGCTGGTTTTTGGGAGCACCATCACTTGTTGGCCCCTTCAGTGTTTAATAAAGTAGAGAGCCGCTCAGCTCCAGGTCATTTCTCCCTAGGGCACGTCACTGCCATCATCATTTCCTTGTCCTATAATCTCTGCCCAAGCTGAGATGACTTTGGTAAGCCACCCTAACGCCAGCTCTTCCCATTTGGCTTCTACCTCTGCTCAACCCTGTTTGTATTCCCCTTTTCCCAGGTGACTGTCTCAAGGTTGCTCCTTAAAAATACCACAACAAAGGCCTCTATTCCACTTTGGGGTTCAGTTCATCCTCTGCGTTCCCCTTAGTTCTTATTCCCAAGCCTCTGTTCTGGGGATTTCTTATCTTCTAGTCGTGTGCAAGAGTCTGGTCTTGTGTTGACTTTGCTCTCACTATGGTGTCCTGCCATTTTGGTGAAAGCCATCTTGTGCATTTTCAGGACATGTGACAACATAAAGTAATTGTTTCTCTTTTATTTATAAAAATATTTTATTTTATGTATGTGAACGTGCACATGCATGTGGGTGTCCACGGAAGCTAGAATGAGGCTTCAGCTCCCGGGGAACTGGAGTTAGAAGCAGTGTGGGTACCGGGAATGAAACTCCGGTCCTCTGCAAGAGCAGCAAGTGTTCTTCACCACTGAGACATCGCTCCAGCCGCATTAGTACTTTGAAAAATTTCACAAGTAGTTCTGTGCACTGGGAACCTTACCTGCTGCATCAGAGTTAACCTGGTGGGTTGCACATACCACATGACGAGCTCTTTCCCAGAGTTTCAGGTTTCTTAACTAAGGGTAGTGCCCAAGAATTCACATTTCTACCAATTTCCTTGATGCTGCTGCTGCTGTTCCAGGGAACCACTGACTCGAAGAATGATTTGCATATTTATGGATGCCATCCGAAAACACGGAAGTTGTGCATTTTTGCTAGGCAGTTTAAGTAGCTGCAACATCCTTGGAAGCGAATCTGACCACAGTTGTGAACTCATTGCACATACTGATTCTCTGGCAGGGTTACATTCAGAGCCATCTGTTAGGCTGGCAGCATGCCCACAGAGGATGCGCTCTGCCAGCTTCAGCAGGGCATAGGTGCTAACCAAACACGGTTTGAAAGGGGCGGCTTTCATCACACAGCGAGTGCCATTTCTTGGGCCAGGCTGTCCTGCTGTTTGCGGAAGCTCCAGTCTGAGGCCACATGCCTCCTTACATCTGTAGGTGCTTGAGGACATGATTAAAGAATAAATAATCAACAAATGGTTGATTATATTTCTTCCCAAACTGCCTCAGCGCTGTAATTTGGCCCGCCGAGAAGTACTCCCTCTTCAGTGAGCTGGAAGCCGTTCTAAAGGACGGCACACGAGCGAGGCCTGGAAGCTGGAGGCTTGAGTAGCTGCCCCGCTCCTTTGAAGATGCTGCTAGCTCTTTGTTATGACTTTTTTTTTTATATTAATTTAAATTTTGGCTCTATTTTTCTCTCCTGTAGGTTCATGTTCAGTACTTGAAAACTTTCTCTAGTTTGAGTCTTTTTAGGCAAAATTGGTTTATACGTTTTGAATAGATTTAAATTTCTAGGCCAGCTCTAGGTTCTCTGTGCCAAAAGAAGGTGCAGAGTTTTCTCATTCGTGCGGTCATCCCAGGTGTGCGGTCAGGGTTCCCCACCGCCTGGCGGGCGCACTCATCACAACTGATGGCGCTACACTGACAAGTCGTCATCCAAAGCCCACAGGTTACAGTATTCACGCTTGCTGTCTTGAGTTTAGACAAGTGTGTGATAGCAAATATTCACCGTGACTGTGTCGTGCAGAACACTTTCACAGGCCTCTCTGTGCTTTCTCTATTCAGTTCTCCACCCCCCCCCCCTTTTTTTTTAAAAAAAAAAAAGAGATTTGCCATGCCAGAAGAGGGTGCCAGATCTCATTACAGATGGTCTGCGTTTGCTAAGAATTGAACTCATGACCTCGGGAGAAACAGCCAGCGCTCTTAACCTCTCTCCAGTCCTCAGTTCTCCCTTCTGATCTCCGAGATCAGGAGCCGACTGTCTCCAGGGCTGCCTTTCCCACAATGCTGTATGGCTGAGTCATAGCAGGTCGTTTTCTGGGTGGCTTTCATTTGGTAACACAGGTTTCATTTTTTTCTGTGTCTTTATCTTTTTATTTATTTATTTATTTATTTATTTATTTATTTATTTATTTTTTGAGATAGGATTT